TTCCCATTTAGAAGAGTTCGATAAAATAAGTTTATAAATATGAAGCATGGATAGTAAGGTCTACCAGGTCTAACAGGTAGGTATTTGGCCTCTTTCCCCAACAGGCTCCTCTCCAGGCCTGGAGTATTTTAAAATAACTGTGAGACACCTGCAAATTATGTGTGCACATCTTGATATGTATTTTCTGAGGTGGGATTCTTTTTTCACACACATCCCTGGCGTTCTTACTGACTTCCTCAGTGTCTAGCCAGTGCTCCATCTCCCCAGCTGCCTTTCTGTTGAACCATTTGCTCCCATCAGAAGCATGGGTGTTGTTAAGTAGGGGAGAATGAGATGGAACCACTGACTGCTGGGGAATGCTCAAGGAGAGACGCAGCCCCGGGTGTGCTATGACAAATTTGGAGCAAACATAGATAACATGGAGGAGGTCTGTCTCTGTAGTAAGGATACAGCAAGGTTGTGTGGGCTGTTGGTGGGTGGATGCAGTTCAAAGCACTGCCTCAGAGACACCATGCTGAGGGAAAGGGGGACGTAGAAACCCAAAATGTCTCCAAAGAGGAAGCTAGATAGGCAGGGACAGTGTCTTCCAGGGTAGCCATGTTAGGACTCATGTAGGTGTCCTCCCATCATGCCCTTCTGCAGTGAGAGGCTGGCCTTCCATTGAAGGTGTATCTGTGCAACCTACAATCGGGAAGCCACCATGGCCCCACTGTGTGTGGCTGTGACATTTCTGCTCTGTCCATGTCTTGAAAGATATTTTATGATTTTAACCATAAGAAAACTACCAGTGGTGAAAGAGCTGGACAGAGGGTATGTGTCCTGGGGTGTTAAAGGACCCTGTCCTCCAGAGAGATTCACTCCACTAGCTTGAAAGGCCTGTCAGCTTCCCCAGCCCAGGCATTATGGAAGTGAAACCAGAAACTTTGTTACTCCAATAGGAGCAAAAATACAAATCACTAGGAATAAATTTTACACACACACACACACACACACACACCCATGTGCGCACACACACGCGCGCACACATGCACACACTATCCGTGTGAAGAAATTTTAATAAGCTCCCGAGGAACCAAAAGACAATGTGAATAAATCAAAGTTATACCATGTTGTTCTTGGATATGAACTTGTAGCATGGCTGAAAAAGTCCATTCTCCTTCAGTTAAGCTATAGTCTGAACATGATTCAATAAAAGTAACACTTTTGTGGGGGATAAGTAGGGATTAGATTAGCTGCTTTTATGAAAACGGTTTGGAAAAACAAGATTTAGAAAACGGGAAGAAAAGCTCAATAAATAGCCTAAAAGACCCAAAGCATAGTATGAAACTAACATGGTTAAAAATAAAAATAATTTATTACAATTACAAACAAATACATTGATAAAAGTCACCTCTCAAACCGATGAGGAAAAGTGATTAAACTTCAGGGGGATTGAATTCCTGGTGTGTACTTGTCACAGTGTAAATTTAAAATATATCTAAGATTTACGTGCAAACATAAGATACACTGTAAGCTTTCGTAGGAAAGTTGTTTTATACGCAAGTCTTTCTGCTGTACAGGAAATGCAAAAAATCTCCATGGTAAAACTCACTTTATGTGTCAAAAGTCAAGCAATGAGTTAGTGAAAGATACTTCTAACTGGTATCTCAAATAACTAAATTCTCTAATATGTAATGTATTCCTGCAAACCAATAGGAAAAATGATTGATAATTCAATAAAAACTACGCAAAAATACCCACAGCTTACAAAAAAGATGCACACCATTTATTTAGGAAGTGTTAAGAAAAACTACAAATTCCACCATAAGTAAAGATGAATTACCAACACACAGGGGTTTTTATTTTTTCTTTTCTTTCTTTAATATTTTATTTATTATTTTTATTTTATGTGTATGAGTGTATTGCCTGTATGTATGTGAATGCACCCGTGTCGTGCAATGCCATGGAGGTCAGAAGAAGGCTTTGGATTTCCCTGGAACTGGAGTTAAGGACAGTTCATAGCTGCCATGTGTGCAGTGCCCACAGAGATGAGAAGAGGTCATCAGATTCCCTGAAACTGGAGTTATGGACAGTTGTTAGCTGCCATGTGGGTGCTGGGATTTGAACCCGGGTCTTCTGCAAGAACAGTCAGTGTTCTTAACCGCTGAGCCATCTCTCCAGCCCCCATCTTTTCTTTCTCTTATTTTATTATGAGATTATCCAGGGCATGGGAAAAGAATCTTTTATGTATCACTGATGACAAGTAGATCCACACTGCTCTAAGAAAGAAATCTGGCAATATCTGAAAAGATTATAGTCTGGAACTCTGCAATTTCGTGTCTGTTTTTGTGTTTCAGACTCTGTGAGCATCATGAAACCAGCTCTGGGAGTTAGTACTGTAAACGTGCTATGTGTGTACACATGTGAAGCCATGTAGGAATGGTGCTTTTACTAAATGGTCATCTGTTACATAACACATATAGAGCTGTAAGAAATAACCAAGGGAGCGCTCTACTGCTGCAAGGAAAGTATGGGCTGTAAGAAAAGTATGCTGTGGGCTGGAGAAGATGGCTCGGTAGTAACTCCAGTTCTAGGGAATCCTATGCCCCCTTCTGACCTCCGTGGGCACTGCATGACGTGGGTGCACTTACACACATGCAGGCATAACACTCATACACATAAAATAAAAATAAACTTTATAAAAAGAAAAGTATGCTGTTCTGCTGGGAATGGTACTCACACCTGTGATCACAGCACCTGGGAGGCTGAGGCAGAGAATATTGAGTTTGAGGTCAGCCTGGGCTACATAAAGAGCTCCAGGTCAGCCTGGGACACAGAATGAGTGAGCCCTTGCCTCATAAAACCAAACCAAAACAGCAACAAAAAAGAAAGTACACTTTTTGTTATTGTTTTTTTTGAGACAGGGTCTCCCTGTAGCCCCAGTTGGCCTGGAACTGTAAACCAGGGTGGCCTCGATCTCTTGGAGATCCACCAGCCTCTGCCTCTTGAGTGCTGGGATTAAAGGCAGGCACCACCACATCTGGCTTGAAAGTACACTTTTTAAAAGATTTTTTTAAAATTACGTGTGTGTGTGCCTATGCTTGTGAGTGCAAGTGCCCACAGAGTCTAGAAGATGGCTTCGGATACTCTGGAGCTGGAGTTACAGGTGTCTGGGGGCTGCCTGATGTGCGTGCTGGGAACTGAACCTAGGTCTTCTGCAAGAGCAGCAGGTGCTGAGCCATCTATCCAGCCCTAAGTACACTGCTCATTGATAAAGAGGCTAGTATATGATCAAGATTATTCTGACAAGTGTGTAAAAGGGGAGGGAGATATGCAGGGCTATTGCACGTGCATTAGCAATTGTCAATGCATAGAAAAATAGATTATATTCATTGCCTCTAGGAAAAAACTGCAGTAAGGGAGAAGGCTGCAGTGTAACTTTCTACTACAAATTTGTGCTATTTGATTTTTGTTTTTGTGTTTGTATCTTGGTTTTGTGTTGGTGGCGGTGGTGGTGGTGGGTTGTATTTTTTTTTTTAACCAGGATCTCTGTAGTCTCAGCTGGCCTGGAATTTATGACATAGACCAGGCTAACCTGGATCTCAGAGATTCACCTGCCTCTTCCCCTCAGTGCTGGGATTAAAAGCATGCGCCACCATATCTGGTCCCATTTGTCCTTTGAATCTTATCTTCCCTTCTCAAAAATGTTAACGAAGGCATCGGGTGGATTTCAGTGGTAATGTTTATCACCTCTACTAATTAGCATGACTTAAATTTCCATGCTTCCTCCTCAAATATAATACATTTTTTAAAAATTTGTTGATTGTGTGTGTGTGTGCATATCACACAAAACATCCCAAACCATCTTATTTGACTATACACCCACTTCCCAGTTGGCACCCTTCATAGACACACACAGGCACCAAGGGTCCAAGTGCAACCGATTATGACTAGTAATAATCAGATACATACAGATTAGAGATGCATGCACCAACATCTCAGTGTTAGTAGCAAAAACAATGAGTCTTTCTGCAAGGAACAATATATTCTAAAATGAAATGGAGATCTTTTTTAAAGGTTAAAAAACTCATTCAATTTTATGTCTTACAGGGCTTATACTGAGTTCAGTGTTGTATAACTATATTAACTCAACTGTAAGCCTAAAAACTTGCACCCACTTGTGAAAGAGATGTACTCTTGCTCTGGAGTATGTTACTGAATATGTGAAATCTGTAGTGAAATGCTTCCTCTAATCATGTAGTTATTAAAATTTTTAAAAATAATTTTTAAAAATGTTAACGAGGGGCTGAAGAGATGGCTCAGTGGTTCAGCATACTTCTTGCTTAGTTCAGTTTTCAGCATCCTGGACAGGCAATTCGCAATAGTCTATAACTCCAGCTCCAGGAGATCTAATGTTCTCTTCAGGCCTCCAAAGGCACCTGCACACATGTGCATATACAACTCGCACATAAGTAAAAATCTTCTAAAAATAACTTCAGAATTTGAAATTTAAAATAATTCAGTAGGTGAAAATATGCTACTTGTTTTGATATTGATATATATAATTCTAACGTTGAGTTGCTTTAAATGTTTTGTGGATATTTTAGACAACAGCCTATTCATGCACTTTACCCATTTTTCATTTGGGGTGGGGACAAGGTTTCTTTGTAAGTTAAGGAAATCACACCTTTAAGTGTCATAGTTCGTCTGTGGACTGGGTCTGTGCTCTCTTTGCCTGGCACTTTCATATCTGCCCGTCGCCTTTCCTTTCTTCATTTCCTCCCTCCCAGGGGGTGGAAATGAATTTTCCGTCATAGTCCCTGAGAACCCTGCCTCTAAATGGAAACCATCTATTATTGACACCTTTAGATGAAGGAGAAGATGGAAGCAGTTTATAAAGTCTGTTGCAGGCATATTTGGTGAGAGATGACCCAGCGGGTCCTCCCAGGGCAAAGGCAAAGGGACTCGACCTGGTCAAGTGCTGTGGGTCTCTGATGAGCCTCTCTTCTTCCCACTCCTAGCGGAGCTGCCACAGTGCTCAGCCGTGAGGTTGACCTCTCTACGGGACCTGCCTGCCCAGCTCCTGGAGCTGTACCAGCAGGGCTTCTCGCTGGCCACTCTGCACCCCTTTGTGCAGCCGACACAGAGACAAGAAAAGACCCCTCTGGAGCACATCTTTAGGGCCATCCTGGTCAAGAAAACTGACAGGTAAGAACCTAGGTCCCATTAGCATCATGCCAAGTGGAGGCTAAGGTGTCTGAATGGAGGAGGGGAGCGTGAGGATGGAGTGAATTTGTATCTATGCCCTCTGACAGGTTAGCCAAGAAGCTGGACAACCAGAGAGGTCTCCATGGCATCCTGTGACAAAAAAACAAGTGCCGTGCCTGGCTGCAGATACAGAGTTCAAGTCCATATCCCTTTCTTTAATTTATTGGGTGAAACTCAATTTGAAAAATGTCTCCTCGGAAGAAGCAAGCTCCCAGAATCGGGCAGCGAGTCAAAATATAATAATACCATTAATCTGAAAAGCCGTGGCTGGAAACAATGATTTTATTAAAGGCTTTATACAAGTGTAATGACTTCCTCCAAAGTTCAAAAATACTTCAAAATTTTGAACAACCAGAGGTTCTGTCAATTACCTGTGAAGAACACACATACCACACTACAGACACACACGTACTCTCTCTCCAGAGAGAGAGAGAGAGAGAGAGAGAGAGAGAGAGAGAGCGAGAGCGCTGTCATTGGTTGGATCTTGATTTGGTCTCTCAAGGCTTTTTGAAGATGTTTTTCAGTGTGACTTATCCAGTTGAATGTTACTTGTGCATTTTGATTTATGCCTAAGTAGGAAAAAAGGTGGGTTTGGTCTTTCAAAAGAAGCACTGCTTATTTTAAATGCTTAAAATGAGAATCAAACAGAAAATACATTGTTTAGCTGCTTTCATAAGTATAAAAATTGAAGCCAGATATGGTGACACATACTTAAAATTTCTACCGTTTGGGAAGTAGAGGCAGGAAGAACAGGAGTTCAAGATTAGCCTCAGCAACATAGTGAATTTGAGACCATTTTGGGTTATATCAGACCCTGGCTCAACAAAATGAATTAAGTAGTTAATTAATTTAATTGAAGTAGGGGAAAGACATCGTATTTCCTTTTGGCCAGCTGTCTTACAAAGCATGGCAACATGGGCCATGTTTTAACGAGAGAATGTAGGGCCAGCACTGCTCTTTCTCTTTTTGTAAAAGTCATTTTGCAGAAGACAAAGCCTTGGTCTAGTGTGTTCACAGTGACGCCTGTAGGGTTACATGCTAAGATGGACTTCTCTCTCTTCCTCCATGACTGATCAGACTTTGGGTACTGCACTGGGATCACCACTCATCCAGACTCAAAGTGAAAGGTGGCGCTTGTCTTTGCAGAAGTCTGGGATCCCTGTGCTGCTTGTAGGATGAAACTGCAATGTCTGTTTTTCATGCATATTGGTTTCTGTGTGTGTTGGTCTTAGATGAATATCTGTTTCAATCTGGGGGCCACGGTGGTTGTAAGTTACGTGGACACATGGGATATGTACCTGATGATGTTTGCTCGTGTTGACCAAATGCTCATTTTGTATCATGTGTGATAAGTATCATTATATCTTCATCAGCTCTTGATATCATAGTCACACAGATGACATGAAGCAGAACTCTGACTTAGGAAACCAGTGTCCTGTGCTTCCCTACCTCTGGCCAGGTGCTCCTGCTAGACTCCCTGCACCCGTAATTCTGTGCATATCCCCTTTAGAAGAAAATCGAGAGTGCCTTTCATCTTAGATGAGGGAGTGCTTTTATTTACCACGTTCTTCCCATTTTACTCAACAGCCTTCCATTAAAACAGAATTTTGAAAGGGAATACAGGAAAACTCACCATGTTGTATCAGAAAACTGTCCATGTTGCTGTATGTATCACATAAGGCACACCTAGGGTTCCAGTGATGCTGTTGCTTAGGCTGGTCTGTTGGTTTGGTGTTTGGCAGAGGCCAGCCCATGAGGATCAGATCTCAGGGACATCCTTCTGTGTATTTTGCTGTAGGAGGTGATGTTAGTGTAGGACCTGGCATGAAGTCAGCACATTATAAATATGCTGCCTCAAATGTGAAGATGTGTCTCTTCCTCCCCCAGCTATGGAGTAGCACTTTTCAAACTAATGTGTCTGAGAATCTCCTGGGGATGCTGTTGGAGAGCAGTCTGATTCAGCACGTCTGGAGTCAGGCCTGGGATTGCTGTCTCCAGTGTGGTCCCAAGTGCTGCTGATGCTGTTGCTTCATGGACTATACTTTGAATAGCAAAAGTAGAGAGGACTTGACTCACTCTTGTCTAGATGTATGCCTGACACTCATCCACACGATGAGGGTTTACTACCTTGCCCTTCAGGACAGCTTTAGGTACAGAGAAAGCCAAAGAAGAGCCCAGGGTTCCTGGTTGGAGGACCTGTGGTCCAGGCTACATGTGGCCTCTGAGGAGCAGTATAGTGTCAAGGTCCATCAGTAAATTTTTCTTGGCTTCCTGTTGTGTAGTTAGCACAGTGAGAGATTGGCCCCACCTGGTTTGCAAGGCCTGTTGAGTCTGGTGGAATGAGCTGGGTGAGGACACACCTCTTCAAGAATAAACCCCACCCCCACTTTGCCCTTAACAAGCCAGCAGGGGAGCTGGGGGTTAAATAGGGATTCTTAACTTGTACTGAGGATAGGGAAAAGGCAGATAAAGTTCTTCAGACAGAAGACACTGGTGTGTGGCACGGTCTTCCAGGGGGAGGATGGCAGCAGCCTTGCTGGTTGGAGTTCTCCCTGCCCAGGACGTCTGAGGCACTGCATGCTGGCTTCAGTGAACATTCCATCTCCTTGATTGATAAGCAGATGCAGAGAACAATGTTTTCGTTAACTTTGTATTGAGTCTTTAGAATTTTTTTTTTTCCTACAAAGAAAACTGCAAAAGTTTGAGAACTTACCATGTAAAATAAAGTAAAAAATGGCTAATGAATCTTCCCATTTCTGTCCCAATAGTGTTGGGTGAGAAGATTGCTGATGGGTGGAATCAGGGTCAACATGAAAAGCAGTGTTAAAATGTAGGTATTTTTTTCTCCTGATCAACACAATAACCATAGACTTTTGCATCAAGAAAGCATCCCACACAGCTATAAACAAGCAGCAAACAAAATATTCACAAAACTCTATATCAGTAAGTAGTTGAAGAAATAAAAACAAAACAAAGGAAAGCTTACACAATTTTTAATATGAAGAGTTAAAGCAATACTTTTCACAAAGACTGCCAAAGTTCTGACAGCTATAGATACGGTTAAGTGAAATTATGTAGCTCTCAAAAGGGAGTAAGTACCTGGATAATATTTTCCAGGCACGGGAAGATTTCTGTATTACTGTCTGTCCAGTTGAACTTAATTGGCACGAATCATCACAGAATGGCTACTTAAAACTTGGTAAACCTAAAGTACTTGAAAGGTGAACACAGCATTTTTAGTAACTGACAGCTTTGGGGTATGCAGCAAAATCAAGAAAAAGAACAGGTCTATTCAGGGTTGCATAATTCCATCCATCCATCCATCCATCCATCCATCCATCCATCTATCCATCTGCAAACACTTAAGCTTGTGTATCATAGATATTGTGGGCTTGTTTCCAAACCACCATGATAAGTGAATACCTCAATAAAACAATTCACAATTTTTCTTAGCTTCCCAGTGCATACAGAAGTTATGTTTATACTGTGCTATAGTTTTATTAAGTATGCAATACTTAAATGCACACACCTTAATTTAAGAATAGTATGAGTTGGGCATGGTGGTACACACCTTTAATCCCAGCTCTTGGGAAACAAAGGCAGACAGATCTCTGTGAGATTGAGGGTCATAGTGAGTTCTAGGCCAGCTGTGGCTACAGGGAGACCCTATCTCCAAAAGGCCAATAGAAGAGGAGGAAGAGGTTGCTAAAAGATGCTAATGATTATCTGAGCTGCTAGGAAAAGGGTAAGTAGTAGGTTCAGCACATGGTTGCCACAAACCTCTGGTTGTAAAACACATACTATCCTCAAAGCACAATAAAACAAAAGAAGCTCAGGTCTGTAAGACATGTGGCAGGAGCTCTACTGGGGGGAAGGTAGCGGGCTCAGCTGGGTATGGTGCCTGCTTCCCAGGGCCTACTGTCTGCTTGAGGAAATACCCACTGCATGGCTCAAACCATGGGAATTCGGAGAAAGTAAATATCACCTCTCCCTCGAAGAGAAACTGAGGATATAGTTAATATATCCTCATTTTTAAAAATCCACAAAACAATTATCAGGTCTTTTATTTTTGAAAATCCAGGTTAACTGCCATTCCATTTCAAGATGGCAGGCCAAATGGCACGTCAAACTGTCAGTTCTTCTTGATTTAAGTATATTGAGTTCAGTCAAAGTCAGCTCCTTAGAAATTTGACTCCAGTGTGAATAGTTGAGCAGACTAGTCCGTGAATAAGTGGGAAAGAGTTCACACCTCCTTTCTTCATTCTTTCTCT